TGGAAAGCGGGAGAATGGGGCGGGGTGATGGAAAGCGGGAGAATGGGGCAGGGTGATGGAAAGCGGGAGAATGGGGCGGGGTGATGGGAAGAGGGAGAATGGGGCGGGGTGATGGGAAGCAGGAGAATGGGGCAGGGTGAAGGAAAGAGGGAGAATGGGGCGGGGTGATAGAAAGCGGGAGAATGGGGCGCGGTGATGGAAAGCGGGAGAATGGAGCGGGGTGATGGAAAGTGGAGAATGGGGCGGGGTGATGGAAAGCAGGAGAATGGGGCAGGGTGAAGGAAAGAGGGAGAATGGGGCGGGGTGATAGAAAGCGGGAGAATGGGGCGCGGTGATGGAAAGCGGGAGAATGGAGCGGGGTGATGGAAAGTGGGAGAATGGGGCGGGGTGATGGAAAGCGAGAGAATGGGGCGGGGTGATGGAAAGCGGGAGAATGGGGCGGGGTGATGGAAAGCGGGAGAATGGGGCGGGGTGATGGAAAGCGGGAGAATGGGGCGGGGTGATGGAAAGCGGGAGAATGGGGCGGGGTGATGGAATGCGGGAGAATGGGGCGGGGTGATGGAAAGAGGGAGAATGGAGCGGGGTGATGGAAGGAGGGAGAATGGGGCGGGTTTGATGGAAAGTGGGAGAATGTGGCGGGGTGATGGAAAGCGGGAGAATGGGGCGGGGTTATGGAAAGCGGGAGAATGGGGCGGGGTGACGGAAATCGGGAGAATGGGGCAGGGTGATGGAAGGAGGGAGAATGGGCAGGGTGATGGAAAGCGGGAGAATGGGGCGTGGTGATGGAAAGCGGGAGAATGGGGCGGGGTGATGGAAAGCGGGAGAATGGGGCGGGGTGATGGAAAGCGGGAGAATGGGGCGGGGTGATGGAAGGAGGTAGAATGAGGTGGGGTGATGGAAGGAGAAGAATGGGGCGGGGTGATGGAAAGCAGGAGAATGGGGCGGGGTGATGGAAAGCGGGAGAATGGGGCGGAGTGATGGAAAGCGGGAGAATGGGGCGGGGTGATGGAAAGCGGGAGAATGGGGCGTGGTGATGGAAAGCGGGAGAATGGGGCGGGGTGATGGGAGAATGGGGCGGGTCGATGGAAAGCGGGAGAATGGGGCGGTGTGATGGAAAGCGGGTGAATGGGGTGGGCTGATGGAAAGCGGGAGAATGGGGCGGGGTGATGGAAGGAGGGAGAATGGGGCGGGGTGATGGAAAGCGGGAGAATGGGGCGGGGTGATGGAAAGTGGGAGAATGGGGCGGGGTGATGAAAAGCGGGAGAATGGGGCGGGGTGATGGAAAGCGGGAGAATCGGGCGGGGTGATGGAAAGCGGGAGATGGGGCGAGGTGATGGAAAGCGGGAGAATGGGGCGGGTAATGGAAAGCGGGAGAATGGGGCGGGGTGATAGAAGGAGGGAAAATGGGGAGGGGTGATGGAAGGAGGGAGAATGGGGCGTGGTGATGGAAAGCGGGAGAATGGGGCGGGGTGATGGAAAGCGGGAGAATGGGGCGGGGTGATGGAAAGCGGGAGAATGGGGCGGGGTGATGGAAAGCGGGAGAATGGGGCGGGGTGATGGAAAGCGGGAGAATGGGGCGGGGTGATGGAAAGCGGGAAAATGGGGCGGGGTGATCGAAAGCGGGAGAATGGGGCGGGGTGATGGAAAGCGGGAGAATGAGTCGGGGTGATGGAAAGCGGGAGAATGGGGTGGGCTGATGGAAAGCGGGAGAATGGGGCGGGGTGATGGAAGGAGGGAGAATGGGGCGGGGTGATGGAAGGAGGGAGAAGGGGGCGGGGTGATGGAAGGAGGGAGAATGGGGCGGGGTGATGGATGGAGAGAGAAGGGGGCGGGGTGATGGAAAGTGGGAGAATGTGGCGGGGTGATGGAAATCGGGAGAATAGGGTGGGGTTATGGGAAGCGGGAGAATGGGGCGGGGTGATGGAAAGCGGGAGAATGGGGCGGGGTGATGGAAGGAGGGAGAATGGGGCGGGGTGATGGAAGGAGGAAGAATGGGGCGTAGTGATGGAAAGCGGGAGAATGGGGCAGGGTGATGGAAGGAGGGAGAATGGGGCGGGATGATGGAAAGCGGGAGAATGGGGCGGGGTGATTGAAAGCGGGAGAATGGGGCGGGGTGATGGAAGCAGGGAGAATGGGGCGGGGTGATAGAAAGCGGGAGAATGTGGCGGGGTGATGGAAAGCGGGAGAAGGGGGTGGGGTTATGGGAAGCGGGAGAATGGGGCGGGCTGATGGAAAGCGGGAGAATGGGGCGGGGTGATGTAAGGAGGGAGAATGGGGCGGGGTGATGGAAGGAGGGAGAATGGGACGGGGTGATGGAAAGCGGGAAAATGGGGCGGGGTGATGGAAGGAGGGAGAATGGGACGGGGTGATGGAAAGCGGGAAAATGGGGCGGGGTGATGGAAAGCGGGAGAATGGGGCGGGGTGATGGAAAGCGGGAGAATGGGGCAGGGTGATGGAAAGCGGGAGAAGGGGGCGGGGTGATCGAAAGCGGGAGAATGGGGCGGGGTGATGGGAAGAGGGAGAATGGGGCGGGGTGATGGGAAGCAGGAGAATGGGGCAGGGTGAAGGAAAGAGGGAGAATGGGGCGGGGTGATAGAAAGCGGGAGAATGGGGCGCGGTGATGGAAAGCGGGAGAATGGAGCGGGGTGATGGAAAGTGGGAGAATGGGGCGGGGTGATGGAAAGCAGGAGAATGGGGCAGGGTGAAGGAAAGAGGGAGAATGGGGCGGGGTGATAGAAAGCGGGAGAATGGGGCGCGGTGATGGAAAGCGGGAGAATGGAGCGGGGTGATGGAAAGTGGGAGAATGGGGCGGGGTGATGGAAAGCGAGAGAATGGGGCGGGGTGATGGAAAGCGGGAGAATGGGGCGGGGTGATGGAAAGCGGGAGAATGGGGCGGGGTGATGGAAAGCGGGAGAATGGGGCGGGGTGATGGAAAGCGGGAGAATGGGGCGGGGTGATGGAATGCGGGAGAATGGGGCGGGGTGATGGAAAGAGGGAGAATGGAGCGGGGTGATGGAAAGTGGGAGAATGGGGCGGGGTGATGGAAAGCGAGAGAATGGGGCGGGGTGATGGAAAGCGGGAGAATGGGGCGGGCTGATAGAAAGTGGGAGAATGGGGCGGGGTGATGGAAGGAGGGAGAATGGGGCGGGGTGATGGAAGGAGGGAGAAGGGGGCAGGGTGATGGAAAGCGGGAGAATGGGGTGGGGTGATGAAAAGCGAGAGAATGGGGCGGGGTGATGGAAAGCGGTAGAATGGGGAGGGCTGATGGAAAGCGGGAGAATGGGGCGGGGTGATCAAAGGAGGGAGAATGGGGCGGGGTGATGGAAGGAGGGAGAATGGGGCGGGGTGATGGAAGGAGGGAGAATGGGGCGGGTTTGATGGAAAGTGGGAGAATGTGGCGGGGTGATGGAAAGCGGGAGAATGGGGCGGGGTTATGGAAAGCGGGAGAATGGGGCGGGGTGACGGAAATCGGGAGAATGGGGCAGGGTGATGGAAGGAGGGAGAATGGGGCAGGGTGATGGAAAGCGGGAGAATGGGGCGTGGTGATGGAAAGCGGGAGAATGGGGCGGGGTGATGGAAAGCGGGAGAATGGGGCGGGGTGATGGAAAGCGGGAGAATGGGGCGGGGTGATGGAAGGAGGTAGAATGAGGTGGGGTGATGGAAGGAGAAGAATGGGGCGGGGTGATGGAAAGCAGGAGAATGGGGCGGGGTGATGGAAAGCGGGAGAATGGGGCGGAGTGATGGAAAGCGGGAGAATGGGGCGGGGTGATGGAAAGCGGGAGAATGGGGCGTGGTGATGGAAAGCGGGAGAATGGGGCGGGGTGATGGGAGAATGGGGCGGGTCGATGGAAAGCGGGAGAATGGGGCGGTGTGATGGAAAGCGGGTGAATGGGGTGGGCTGATGGAAAGCGGGAGAATGGGGCGGGGTGATGGAAGGAGGGAGAATGGGGCGGGGTGATGGAAAGCGGGAGAATGGGGCGGGGTGATGGAAAGTGGGAGAATGGGGCGGGGTGATGAAAAGCGGGAGAATGGGGCGGGGTGATGGAAAGCGGGAGAATCGGGCGGGGTGATGGAAAGCGGGAGATGGGGCGAGGTGATGGAAAGCGGGAGAATGGGGCGGGTAATGGAAAGCGGGAGAATGGGGCGGGGTGATAGAAGGAGGGAAAATGGGGAGGGGTGATGGAAGGAGGGAGAATGGGGCGCGGTGATGGAAAGCGGGAGAATGGAGCGGGGTGATGGAAAGTGGGAGAATGGGGCGGGGTGATGGAAAGCGAGAGAATGGGGCGGGGTGATGGAAAGCGGGAGAATGGGGCGGGGTGATGGAAAGCGGGAGAATGGGGCGGGGTGATGGAAAGCGGGAGAATGGGGCGGGGTGATGGAAAGCGGGAGAATGGGGCGGGGTGATGGAATGCGGGAGAATGGGGCGGGGTGATGGAAAGAGGGAGAATGGGGCGGGGTAATGGAAAGCAGGAGAATGGGGTGGGGTGATGGAAAGAGGGAGAATGGGGCGGGGTGATGGAAAGCGGGAGAATGGGGCGGGGTGATGGAAAGCGGGAGAATGGGGCGGGGTGATGGAAAGCTTGAGAATGAGGCTGGGTGATGGAAAGCGGGAGAATGGGGCGGGGTGATGGAAAGCGGGAGAATGGGGCGGGGAAATGGAAGGAGGGAGAATGGGGTGGGGTGATGGAAAGCGGGAGATTGGGGCAGGGTGATGGAAAGCGGGAGAATGGGGCGGGGTGATGGAAAGCGGGAAAATGGGGCGGGGTGATGGAAAGCGGGAGATGGTGAGATGAAAGTACCTCTTTCATCAGATGCTGAGATGAAAGTACCTCTTTCATCAGATGGTGAGATGAAAGTAACTCTTTCATCAAATGGTGAGATGAAAGTACCTTTTTCATCAGATGGTGAGATGAAAGTAACTCTTTCATCAGATGGTGAGATGAAAATACCTCTTTTCATCAGATGGTGAGATGAAAGCAACTCTTTCATAAGATGGTGAGATGAAAGTAACTCTTTCATCAGATGGTGAGATGAAAGCAACTCTTTCATCAGATGGTGAGATGAAAGTACCTCTTTCATCAGATGGTGAGATCAAAGTAACTCTTTCATCAGATGGTGAGATGAAAGCAACTCTTTCATCAGATGGTGAGATGAAAGCAACTCTTTCATCAGATGGTGAGATGAAAGTAATTCTTTCATCAGATGGTGAGATGAAAGTACCTCTTTCATCAGATGGTGAGATGAAATCAACTCTTTCATCAGATGGTGAGATGAAATTAACTCTTTCTTCAGATGGTGAGATGAAAGTAACTCTTTCATCAGATGGTGAGATGAAAGCAACTCTTTCATCAGATGGTGAGATGAAAGTACCTCATTCATCAGATGGTGAGATGAAAGTACCTCTTTCATCAGATGGTGAGATGAAAGTAACTCTTTCATCAGATGGTGAGATGAAAGTACCTCTTTCATCAGATGGTGAGATGAAAGTAATTCTTTCATCAGATAGTGAGATGAAAGTACCTCTTTCATCAGATGGTGAGATGAAAGTAACTCTTTCATCAGATGGTGAGATGAAAGTAACTCTTTCATCAGATGGTGAGATGAAAGTTGTTATTCATCAGATGGTGAGATGAAAGTACCTCTTTCATCAGATGGTGAGATGAAAGTAACTCTTTCATCAGATGGTGAGATGAAAGTACCTCTTTCATCAGATGGTGAGATGAAAGTACCTCTGTCATCAGATGGTGAGATGAAAGTACCTCTGTCATCACGTGCCTGGTGTCCTCCGATCCGCAGTGAGTTTCCCTGTCATCGCCAGTGTGGGGCACGGGCTCATTTTCCTCATGTACTTGCCCCCCTTCCCCCTCCTCCCTTTGCTGGTCAGGGCCAAGGCTTTCGACCTTGACCTGGTGGGCCTGGTGTCGTCAAGCCCTCAAGCCTTCAAGCCTTCAAGCCCTCAAGCCCTCAAGCCCTCAAGCCCTCAAGCCTTCAAGCCTTCAAGCCTTCAAGCCTTCAAGTCTTCAAGAATTCAAGCCTTCAAGCCCTCAAGCCCTCAAGCCCTCAAGCCCTCAAGCCCTCAAGCCCTCAAGCCCTCAAGCCCTCACGCCCTCACGCCCTCAAGCCTTCAAGCCCTCACGCCCTCAAGCCCTCAAGCCTTCAAGCCCTCAAGCCTTCAAGCCATCAAGCACTCAAGCCTTCAAGCCCTCAAGCCCTCAAGCCTTCAAGCCTTCAAGCCTTCAAGCCCTCAAGCCCTCAAGCCTTCAAGCCTTCAAGCCCTCAAGCCCTCAAGCCTTCAAGCCTTCAAGCCCTCAAGCCTTCAAGCCTTCAAGCCTTCAAGCCCTCAAGCCCTCAAGCCCTCAAGCCTTCAAGCCCTCAAGCCCTCAAGCCCTCAAGCCCTCAAGCCCTCAAGCCTTCAAGCCTTCAAGCCTTCAAGCCTTCACGCCCTCAAGCCCTCAAGCCCTCAAGCCCTCAAGCCCTCAAGCCCTCAAGCCCTCAAGCCTTCAAGCCTTCAAGCCTTCAAGCCTTCAAGCCCTCAAGCCCTCAAGCCTTCAAGCCTTCAAGCCTTCAAGCCTTCAAGCCCTCAAGCCCTCAAGCCCTGAAGCCCTCAAGCATTCAAGCCTTCAAGCCTTCAAGCCTTCAAGCCTTCAAGCCCTCAAGCCATCAAGCCTTCAAGCCCTCAAGCCCTCAAGCCCTCAAGCCCTCAAGCCCTTAAGCACTCAAGCCCTCAAGCCTTCAAGCCTTCAAGCCTTCAAGCCTTCAAGCCTTCAAGTCCTCAAGCCCTCAAGCCCGCAAGCCTTCAAGCCCTCAAGCCCTCAAGCCCTCAAGCCTTCAAGCCTTCAAGCCTTCAAGCCTTCAAGCCTTCAGGCCCTCAAGCCCTCAAGCCTTCAAGCCCTCAAGCCCTCAAGCCCTCAAGCCTTCAAGCCTTCAAGCCTTCAAGCCTTCAAGCCCTCAAGCCATCAAGCCTTCAAGCCCTCAAGCCCTCAAGCCCTCAAGCCCTCAAGCCCTTAAGCACTCAAGCCCTCAAGCCATCAAGCCTTCAAGCCTTCAAGCCTTCAAGCCTTCAAGTCCTCAAGCCCTCAAGCCCTCAAGCCTTCAAGCCCTCAAGCCCTCAAGCCTTCAAGCCTTCAAGCCTTCAAGTCCTCAAGCCCTCAAGCCCGCAAGCCTTCAAGCCCTCAAGCCCTCAAGCCCTCAAGCCTTCAAGCCTTCAAGCCTTCAAGCCTTCAAGCCTTCAGGCCCTCAAGCCCTCAAGCCTTCAAGCCCTCAAGCCCTCAAGCCCTCAAGCCTTCAAGCCTTCAAGCCTTCAAGCCTTCAAGCCCTCAAGCCATCAAGCCTTCAAGCCCTCAAGCCCTCAAGCCCTCAAGCCCTCAAGCCCTTAAGCACTCAAGCCCTCAAGCCTTCAAGCCTTCAAGCCTTCAAGCCTTCAAGCCTTCAAGTCCTCAAGCCCTCAAGCCCTCAAGCCTTCAAGCCCTCAAGCCCTCAAGCCTTCAAGCCTTCAAGCCTTCAAGCCTTCAGGCCCTCAAGCCCTCAAGCCTTCAAGCCCTCAAGCCCTCAAGCCCTCAAGCCTTCAAGCCTTCAAGCCTTCAAGCCTTCAAGCCTTCAAGCCCTCAAGCCCTCAAGCCCTCAAGCCCTCAAGCCCTCAAGCCTTCAAGCCCTCAAGCCTTCAAGCCTTCAAGCCCTCAAGGCCCCATTCTCCCGCTTTCCATCACCCCGCCCCATTCTCCCGCTTTCCATCACCCCGCCCCATTCTCCCGCTTTCTATCATCCCGCTCCATTCTCCCGCTTTCCATCAACCCGCCCCATTCTCCTGCTTTCTATCACCCCGCCCCATTCTCCCTCTTTCCTTCACCCCGCCCCATTCTCCCGCTTCCCATCACCCCGCCCCATTCTCCCTCTTCCCATCACCCCGCCCCATTCTCCCGCTTTCGATCACCCCACCCCATTCTCCCGCTTTTTATCACCCCGCCCCATTCTCCCGCTTTCCTTCACCCCGCCCCATTCCCCGGCTTCCCATCACCCTGCCCCATTCTCCCTCTTCCCAACACCCCGCCCCATTCTCCCTCTTTCCATCACCCCGCCCCATTCTCCCGCTTTCCATCACCGCGCCCCATCCTCCCCCATCACCCCACCCCATTCTCCTGCTTTCCATCACCCCGCCCCATTCTACCTCTTTCCATCACCCTGCCCCATTCTCCCGCTTTCCATCACCCCGCCCCATTCTTCCGCTTTCCATCACCCCGCCCCATTCTCCCTCTTTCCATCATCCCGGCCCATTCTCTCGCTTTCCATCACCCCGCCCCATTCTCCCTCTTTCCATCACCCCGCCTTATTCTCCCTCTTTCCATCACCCCGCCCCATTCTCCCGCTTTCCATCACCCCGCCCCATTCTCTCGCTTTCCATCACCCCGCCCCGTTCTCCCGCTTTCTATCACCCCGCTCCATTCTCCCGCTTTCCATCACCACGCCCCATTCTCCCGCTTTCTATCACCCCGCCCCATTCTCCCTCTTTCCTTCACCCCGCCCCATTCTCCCGCTTCCCATCACCCCGCCCCATTCTCCCTCTTCCCATCACCCCGCCCCATTCTCCCGCTTTCGATCACCCCGCCCAATTCTCCCGCTTTCCATCACCCCGCCCTATTCTCCCGCTTTCCTTCACCCCGCCCCATCCCCCCGCTTCCCATCACCCCCGCCCATTCGCCCTCTTCCCATCACCCCGCCTCATTCTCCCGCTTTCCATCACCCCGCCCCATTCTCCCGCTTTCCATCACCCCGCCCCATTCTCCCTCTTTCCATCACCCCACCCCATTCTCCTGCTTTCCATTACCCCGCCCCATTCTCCCTCTTTCCATCACCCCGCCCCATTCTCCCGCTTTCCATCACCCCGCCCCATTCTCCCGCTTTCCATCACCCCGCCCCATTCTCCCGCTTTCCATCACCCCGGCCCATTCTCCCGCTTTCCATCACCCCGCCCCATTCTCCCGCTTTCCATCACCCCGCCCCATTCTCTCGCTTTCCATCACCCCGCCCCATTCTCCCACTTTCCATCACCCCACTCCATTCTCCCGCTTTCCATCACCGCGCCCCATTCTCCCGCTTTCTATCACCCCGCCCCATTCTCCCTCTTTCCTTCACCCTGCCCCATTCTCCTGCTTCCCATCACCCCGCCCCATTCTCCCTCTTCCCATCACCCCGCCCCATTCTCCCGCTTTCGATCACCCCGCCCCCTTCTCCCGCTTTCCATCACCCTGCCCCATTCTCCCGCTTTCCATCACCCCGCCCCATTCTCCCGCTTTCCATCACCCCGCCCCATTCTCCCGCTTTCCATCACCCCGCCCCATTCTCCCGCTTTCCATCACCCCGCCCCATTCTCCTACTTTCCATCACCCCACCCCATTCTCCCGCTTTCCATCATCCCGCCCCATTCTCCCGCTTTCCATCACCCCGCCCCATTCTCCAACTTTCCATCACCCCGCCCCATTCTCCCGCTTTCCATCACCCCGCCCCATTCTCCCGCTTTCCATCACCCCGCCCCATTCTCCCGCCTTCCATCACCCCGCCCCATTCTCCCGCTTTCCATAACCCCGCCCATTCTCCCGCTTTTCATCACCCCGCCCCATTCTCCCGTTTTCCATCACCCCGCGCCATTCTCTCGCTTTCCATCACCCCGCCCCATTCTCCCGCTTTCCATCACCCCGCCCCATTCTCCCTCTTTCCATCACCCCGCCCCATTCTTCCCCTTTCCATCACCCCGCCCCCATTCTCCCGCTTTCCATCACCTCGCCCCATTCTCCCGCTTTCCATTACCCCGCCCCATTCTCCCGCTTTCCATCAACCCGCCCATTCTCCTGCTTTCCATCACCCCGCCCCGTTCTCCCGCTTTCCATCACCCCGCCCCATTCTCCCTCTTTCCATCACCCCGCCCCATTCTCCCTCTTTCCATCACCCCGCCCCATTGTCCCTCTTTCCATCACCCCGCCCCATTCTCCCGCTTTCCATCATCCCGCCCCATTCTTTCGATTTCCATCACCCCGCCCCATTCTCCAGCCCATTTCCATCACCCCGCCCCATTCTCCTGCTTTCCATCACCCCGCCCCATTCTCCCGCTTTCCATCACCCCGCCCCATTCTCCCTCTTTCGATCACCCCGCCCCATTCTCCCACTTTCCATCACCCCGCCCCATTCTCCCGCCTCTTTCCATCACCCCGCCCCATTCTCCCGCTTTCCATCACCCCGCCCCATTCTCCCGCTTTCCATCACCCCGCCCCATGCTCCCGCTTTCCATCACCCCGCCCCATTCTCCCGCTTTCCATCGCCCTGCCCCATTCTCCCGCTTTCCATCACCCCGCCCCATTCTCTTGCTTTCCATCACCCTGCCCCATTCTACCTCTTTTCATCATCCCGCCCCATTCTCCCTCATTCCATCACCCCGCCCCATTCTCCCTCTTTCCATCACCCCGCCCCATTCTTCCGCTTTCCATCACCCCGCCCCATTCTCGCTCTTTCCATCACCCCGCCCCATTCTCCCACTTTCCATCACCCCGCCCCAATCTCCCGCTTTCCATCACCCCGCCCCATTCTCCCGCTTTCCATCACCCCGCCCCATTCTCCCGCTTTCCATCACCCCGCCCCATTCTCCCGCTGTCCATCACCCCGCCCCATTCTCCCGCTTTCCATCACCCCGCCCCATTCTCCCGCTTTCCATCACCCCGCCCCATTCTCCCTCTTTCGATCACCCCGCCCCATTCTCCCGCTTTCCATCACCCCGCCCCATTCTCCCGCTTTCCATCACCCCGCCCCATTCTCCCGCTTTTCATCACCCCGCCCCATTCTCCAGCTTTCCATCACCCCGCCCATTCTCCACATTCCTTCACCCCGCCCCATTCTCCCGCTTTCCATCACCCCGCCCCATTCTCCCGCTTTCCATCACCCCGCCCCATTCTCCCGCTTCCCATCACCCCGCCCCATTCTCCCTCTTTCCATCACCCCGCCCCATTCTCCCTCTTTCCATCACCCCGCCCCATTCTCCCGCTTTCCATCACCCCGCCCCATTCTCCCGCTTTCCATCACCCCGCCCCATTCTCCCGCTTTCCATCGCCCTGCCCCATTCTCCCGCTTTCCATCACCCTGCCCCATTCTCTTGCTTTCCATCACCCTGCCCCATTCTACTTCTTTTCATCATCCCGCCCTATTCTCCCTCATTACATCACCCCGCCCCATTCTCCCTCTTTCCATCACCCCGCCCCATTCTTCCGCTTTCCATCACCCCGCCCCATTCTCGCTCTTTCCATCACCCCGCCCCATTCTCCCACTTTCCATCACCCCGCCCCAATCTCCCGCTTTCCATCACCCCGCCCCATTCTCCCGCTTTCCATCACCCCGCCCCATTCTCCCGCTTTCCATCACCCCGCCCCATTCTCCCGTTGTCCATCACCCCGCCCCATTCTCCTGCTTTCCATCACCCCGCCCTATTCTCCCTCTTTCCATCACCCCGCCCCATTCTCCCGGTTTCCATCACCCCGCCCCATTCTCCCGCTTTCCATCACCCCGCGCCATTCTCCCGCTTTCCATCACCCCGCTCCATTCTCCCGCTTTCCATCACCCCGCCCCATTCTCTCGCTTTCCATCACCCCGCCCCATTTTACCTCTTTCCATCACCCCGTTCCATTCTCCCTCTTTCCGTCACCCCACCTCATTCTCCCTCTTTCCATCACCCCGCTCCATTCTCCCTCTTTCGATCACCCCGCCCCATTCTCCCGCTTTCCATCACCCCACCCCATTCTCCTGCTTTCCATCACCCCGCCCCATTCTCCCGCTTTCCATCACCCCTCCCCATTCTCCCTCTTTCGATCACCCCGCCTCATTCTCCCGCTTTCCATCACCCCGCCCCATTCTCCCGCTTTCCATCACCCCGCCCCATTCTCCCGCTTTTCATCACCCCGTTCCATTCTCCCGCTTTCCATCACCCCGCCCCATTCTCCCGCTTTCCATCACCGCGCCCCATTCTCCCTCTTTCTATCACCCCGCCCCATTCTCCCGCTTTCCATCACCCCGCCCCATTCACCCGCTTTCCATCACCCTACCCCAGTCTCCCGCTTTCCATCACCCCGCCCCATTCTCCCGCTTTCCATCACCCCGCCCCATTCTCCCTCTTTCCATCACCCCACCCCATTCTCCTGCTTTCCATCACCCCGCCCCATTCTCCCTCTTTCCATCACCCCGCCCCATTCTCCCGCTTTCCATCACCCCGCCCCGTTCTCCCGCTTTCCATCACCCCGCCCCATTCTCCCGCTTTCCATCACCCCGCCCCATTCTCCCGCTTTCCATCACCACGCCCCATTTTCCCGCTTTCCATCACCCCGCCCCACTCTCCAACTTTCCATCACCCCGCCCCATTCTCCCGCTTTCCATCATCCCGCCCCATTCTCCCGCTTTCCATCACCCCGCCCCATTCTCCCGCTTTCCATCACCCCGCCCCATTCTCCCGCTTTCCATCACCCTGCCCCATTCTCCCGCTTTCCATCACCCCGCCCCATTCTCCCGCTTTCCATCACCCCGCCCCATTCTCCCGCTTTCCATCACCCCGCCCCATTCTCCCTCTTTCCATCACCCCGCCCCATTCTCCTGCTTTCCATCACCCCGCCCCATTCTCCCGCTTTCCATCACCCCGCCCCATTCTCCCGCTTTCCATCACCCCGCTCCATTTACCCGCTTTCCATCACCCCACCCCATTCTCCCGCTTTCTATCACCCCGCCCCATTCTCCCGCTTCCCATCACCCCGCACCATTCTCCCGCTTTCCATCACCCCGCCCCATTCTCCCGCTTTCCATCACCCCGCCCCATTCTCCCACTTTCCATCACCCCGCCCTATTCTCCCGCTTTCCATCACCCCGCCCCATTCTCCCGCTTTCCATCACCCCGCCCCATTCTCCCGCTTTCCATCACCCCGCCCCATTCTTCCGCTTTCCATCACCCCTCCCCATTCTCCCGCTTTCCATCACCCCGCCCCATTCTCCCGCTTTCCATCACCAGGCCCATTCTCCCACTTTCCATCACCCCGCCCCATTCTCCCGCTTTCCATCACCCCGCCCCATTCTGCCGCTCTCCATCACCCCGCCCCATTCTCCCGCTCTCCATCACCTTGCCCCATTCTCCCCCTTTCCATCACCCCGCCCCATTCTCCCGCTTTCCATCACCCCGCCCCATTCTCCCGCTTTCCATCACCCCGCCCCATTCTCCAACTTTCCATCACCCCGCCCCATTCTCCCGCTTTCCATCACCCCGCCCCATTCTCCCGCTTTCCATCACCCCGCCCCATTCTCCCGCTTTCCATCACCCCGCCCCATTCTCCCGCTTTCCATCACCCCGCCCCATTCTCCCGCTTTCCATCACAAAGCCCCATTCTCCCGCTTTCCATCACCCCGCCCCATTCTCCCGCTTTCCATCACCCCTCCCCATTCTCCCGCTTTCCATTTCCCCGCCCCATTCTCCCGCTTTCCATCACCCCGCCCCATTCTTCTGCTTTCCATCACCCCGCCCCATTCTCCCGCTTTCCATCACCCCGCCCCATTCTCCCGCTTTCCACCAACCTGCCCCATTCTCCCGCTTTCCATCACCCCACCCCATTCTCCCGCTTTCCATCACCCTGCCCCATTCTCCCGCTTTCCATCACCCCGCCCCATTCTTCTGCTTTCCATCACCCCACCCCATTCTCCCGCTTTCCATCACCCCGCCCCATTCTCCCGCTTTCCATCACCCCGCCCCATTCTCCCGCTTTCCATCACCCCGCCCCATTCTCCCGCTTTCCATCACCCCGCCCCATTCTCCAACTTTCCATCACCCCGCCCCATTCTCCCGCTTTCCATCACCCCGCCCCATTCTCCCGCTTTCCATCACCCCGCCCCATTCTTCCGCTTTCCATCACCACGCCCCATTCTCCCGCTTTCCATCACCCCGCCCCATTCGCCCGCTTTCCACCACCCTGCCCCATTCTCCCGCTTTCCATCACCCCACCCCATTCTCCCGCTTTCCATCACCCCGCCCCATTCTCCCGCTTTCCATCACCCCGCTCCATTCTCCCTCCTTCCATCACCCCGCACCATTCTCCCTCCTTCCACCACCCCGCCCGATTCTCCCTCATTCCACCACCCCGCCCCATTCTCCCGCTTTCCATCACCCCGCATGATTCTCCCGCTTTCCATCACCCCGCCCCATTCTCCCGCTTTCCATCACCCCGCCCCATTCTCCCGCTTTCCATCACCCCGCCCCATTCTCCCGCTTTCCATCATCCCGCCCCATTCTCCCTCCTTCCATCACCCCGCCCCATTCTCCCTCCTTCCATCACCACACCCCATTCTCCCTCCTTCCATCACCCGGCCCCATTCTCCCGCTTTCCATCACCCCGCCCCATTCTCCCGCTTTCCATCACCCCGCCCCACTCTCCCGCTTTCCATCACCCCGCCCCATTCTCCCGCTTTCCATCACAAAGCCCCATTCTCCCGCTTTCCATCACCCCACCCCATTCTCCCGCTTTCCATCACCCCGCCCCATCTTCCTCCTTCCATCACCCCGCCCCAATCTCACTCTCTCCATCACCCCGCCCCATTTTCCCGCTTTCCATCACCCCGCCCCATTCACCCACTTTCCATCACCCCGCCCCATTCTCCCGCTTTCCATCACCCCGCCCCATTCTCCCGCTTTCCATCACCATGCCCCATTCTCCCGCTTTCCATCACCACGCCCCATTCTCCCGCTTTCAATCACCCTGCCCCATTCTCCCGCTTTCCATCACCCCACCCCATTCTCCCGCTTTCCATCACCCCGCCCCATTCTCCCGCTTTCCATCACCCCGCTCGATTCTCCCTCCTTCCATCACCCCGCCCCATTCTCCCTCCTTCCATCACCCCGCCCCATTCTCCCTCCTTCCATCACCCCGCCCCATTCTCCCGCTTTCCATCACCCCGCCCCATTCTCCCGCTTTCCATCACCCCGCACCATCTCCCGCTTTCCATCACCCCGCCCCATTCTCCCGCTTTCCATCACCCCGCCCCATTCTCCCGCTTTCCATCACCCCGCCCCATTCTCTCGCTTTCCATCACCCCGCCCCATTCTCCCGCTTTCCATCACCCCGCCCCATTCTCCCGCTTTCCATCACCCCGCCCCATTCTCCCGCTTTCCATCACAAAGCCCCATTCTCCCGCTTTCCATCACCCCGCCCCATTCTCCCGCTTTCCATCACCCCGCCCCATCTTCCTCCTTCCATCACCCCGCCCCAATCTCCCTCTCTCCATCACCCCGCCCCATTTTCCCGCTTTCCATCACCCCGCCCCATTCACCCGCTTTCCATCACCCCGCCCCATTCTCCCGCTTTCCATCACCCCGCCCCATTCTCCCGCTTTCCATCACCCCACCCCATTCTCCCGCTTTCCATCGCCCCGCCCCATTCTCCCACTTTCCATCACCCCGCCCCATTCTCCCTCTTTCCATCACCCTGCCACATTCTCCCGCTTTCCATCACCCCACCCCACTCTCCCGCTTTCCATCACCCCGCCCCATTTTCCCGCTTTCCATCACCCCGCTCCATTCTCCCTCCTTCCATCACCCCGCCCCATTCTCCCTCCTTCCATCACCCCGCCCCATTCTCCCTCCTTCCATCACCCCACCCCATTCTCCCGCTTTCCATCACCCCGCCCCATTCTCCCGCTTTCCATCACCCCGCCCCATTCTCCCTCCTTCCATCACCCCGCCCCATTCTCCCTCCTTCCATCACCCCGCCCCATTCTACCTCCTTCTATCAACCCGCCCCATTCTCCCGATTTCCATCACCCCGCCCCATTCTCCCGATTTCCATCACCCCGCACCATTCTCCCGCTTTCCATCACCCCGCACCATTCTCCCGCTTTCCATCACCCCGCCCCATTCTCCCGCTTTCCATCACCCCACCCCATTCTCCCGCTTTCCATCACCCCGCCCCATTCTCCCTCCTTCCATCACCCCGCCCCATTCTCCCTCCTTCCATCACCACACCCCATTCTCCCGCTTTCCATCACCCCGCCCCATTCTCCCGATTTCCATCACCCCGCACCATTCTCCCGCTTTCCATCACCCCGCACCATTCTCCCGCTTTCCATCACCCCGCCCCATTCTCCCGCTTTCCATCACCCCACCCCATTCTCCCGCTTTCCATCATCCCGCCCCATTCTCCCTCCTTCCATCACCCCGCCCCATTCTCCCTCCTTCCATCACCCGGCCCCATTCTCCCGCTTTCCATCACCCCGCCCCATTCTCCCGCTTTCCATCACCCCGCCCCATTCTCTTGCTTTCCATCACCCCGCCCCATTCTCCTGCTTTCCATAACCCCGCCCCATGCTCCCTCCTTCCATCACCCCGCCCTTTTTTCCCTCCTTCCATCACCCCACCCCATTCTCCCGCTTTCCATCACCCCACCCCATTCTCCCGCTTTCCATCAACCCGCCCCATTCTCTCGCTTTCCATCACCCTGCCCCATTCTCCCGCTTTCCATCACCCCGCCCCATTCTCCCTCCTTCCATCACCCCGGCCCATTCTCCCTCCTTCCATCACCCCGCCCCATTCTCCCTCCTTCTATCACCCCGCCCCATTCTCCCGATTTCCATCACCCCGCCCCATTCTCCCGCTTTCCATCACCCGGCCCCATTCTCCCGCTTTCCATCACCCCGCCCCATTCTCCCGCTTTCCATCACCCCGCCCCATTCTCCCGCTTTCCATCACCCCGCCCCATTCTCCCGCTTTCCGTCACAAAGCCCCATTCTCCCGCTTTCCATCACCCCGCCCCATTCTCCCGCTTTCCATCACCCCATCCCATTCTCCCGCTTTCCATCACCCCGCCCCATTCTCCCGCTTACCATCACCCTGCCCCATTCTCCCGCTTTCCATCACCCCGCCCCATTCTCCCGCTTTCCATCACCCTGCCCCATCTCCCTCCTTCCATCACCCCGCCCCATTCTCCCTCTCTTCATCACCCCGCCCCATTCTCCCTCTTTCCATCACCCCGCCCCATTCACCCGCTTTCCATCACCCCGCCCCATTCTCCCGCTTTCCATCACCACGCCCCATTCTCCCGCTTTCCATCAACCCGCCCCATTCTCCCGCTTTCCATCACCCGGCCCCATTCTCCCGCTTTCCATCACCCCGCCCCATTCTCCCGCTTTCCATCACCCTGCCCCATTCTCTCTCCTTCCATCACCCCGCCCCATTCTCCCGCTTTCCGTCGCCCCACCCCATTCTCCCGCTTTCCATCACCCCGCCCCATTCTCCCGCTTTCCATCACCCCGCCCCATTCTCCCGCTTTCCATCACCCCGCCCCATTCTCCCTCTTTACATCACCGCGCCCCTTTCCCCCGCCTTCCATCACCCCGCCCCATTCTCCCTCCTTCCATCACCCCGCCCCATTCTCCCTCCTTCCATCAACCCGCCCCATTCTCCCTCCTTCCATCACCCCGCCCCATTCTCCTGCTTTCCATCACCCCACCCCATTCTCCCGCTTTCCATCACCCTGCTCCATTCTCCCGCTTTCCATCACCCTGCCCCATTTTCCCGCTTTCCATCACCCTGACCCATTCTCCCGCTTTCCATCACCACGCCCCATTCTCCTGCTTTCCATCACCCCGCCCCATTCTCCCTCCTTCCATCACCCCACCCCATTCTCCTGCTTTCTATCACCCCGCCCCATTGTCCCGCTTTCCATCACCCCGCCCTTTTCTCCCGCTTTCCATCACCCCGCCCCATTCTCCCTCTTTCCCTCACCCCGCCCCATTCTTCCTCTTTCCATCACCCCGCCCCAGTCTCCCGCTTTCCATCACCCCGCTCCATTCTCCCTCTTTCCATCACCCCGCCCCATTCTCCCGCTTTCCATCACCCTGCCCCATTCTCCCGCTTTCCATCACCCCGACCGTGCCTGGGAGTGAAGCGAGAGCGATTGGTCAGGGACCTCCACAACGGAAAATTGTCTGCACCATGATCTGTACCGGTGCGGCTGTTCTCGCGTCTCGAGGCTACAAACGCCTGAAACGAGCTTTTTTCTTCAATGTAAAGACGTCATTTGTGAGTTTGCGGACCTCCAATTATGCGGGAAAGTGCTTGGGATTAAAGCGAGAGCGATTGGTCAGGCACCTCCACGACGGAAAATTGCCTACTCCATGATCTGCACAGGTGCGGGTGTTTTCGCTTCTCGGCGCTACAATCGTCCGAAACGAGTTTGTTTCTTCAATGTAAAGACGTCGTCTGTGAGTTTGCATACCTGCAATAATGTTAGAAAGTGCCTGGGATTGAAGCGAGAGCAGTTGGTCAAGGACCTCCACGACGGAAAATTGTGTGCTCCATGTTCTGCACAGGTGTGGCTGTTATCGCGTCTCGGGGCTACAAACGTCCAAAACGAGCATTTTTCTTCAATGTGAAGACGTCATTTGTGAGTTCGCGGACCCGCAGTTATGGGGCTTCAAACGTCCGAAACGAGGTTTTTTCTTCAATGTAAAGGCGTCATTTGTATGTTCGCGGACTTGCAATTATGCTGGAAAGTGCCTGGGAGTGAAGCGAGAGCGATTGGTCAGGGACCTCCACGACGGAAATTGCCTGCTCCATGATCTGCACAGGTGCGGCTATCTTCGCTTCTCGGGGATACAAACGTCCGAAACGAGATTTGTTTTTCAATGTTAAGACGTCATTTGTGAGTTTGCAGACCTGCAATTATGCTGGAAAGTGCCTGGGAGTGAAGCGAGAGCGATTGGTCAGAGACCTCCACGACGGAATATTGTCTGCTCCATGATCTGTGCAGGTGCACTTCCTACACATATGCGGATGTCATAATATGTAGTTTGTGTAGCCTACAGTAGGGTACTCAATAGTGAGTACAGCCCCTTAGGGTTTGCTATTTGTATCCTGCTGCTTGCTAGTCCAATCATTCCTTCCTCATTTCTGTTCGTGCACACAACTCTCGCTCGTACTTTGCATCTCGTTCTAGTCTTCCTGTGGTCTAGGCTACTAAGCCTAGGCCCAACTACTTAGTATATTTGACATGGTATCAGAGGGCGGCATGTCTGCCGCCTTCCTGTGTATGGGCCCACCACCTGCTTCCGCTGCCGTACTGTCCGCCGCGCGCCCCGTGGTGCGCGGCGCCGAAATTTGGGTTTCTGCCCGCTGCGCGCTCGGGGCGCGTGGCGGTTTACCCTTCCGTGGCGCCCGTCGTGGTGCCCTTGGGGGGGATGCGCGGTCCCCTCCCGTCGCCCGTCGAGGCGCTCTCGGGGGTCCGCGCGGCCTCCTCTCCCGTCGCCCGTCGTGGCGACCACGGGGGCCCGCGCGCGGTCCTCTTCCGTCACCCGTCGAGGCGCTCTCGGGGACCCGCGCGGCCTCCCCTCCCGTCGTCCGTCGTGGCGACCACGGGGGCCCGCGCGCGGTCCCCTTCCGTCGTCCGTCGAGGCGCTCTCGGGGGCCTACGCGGCTTCCCCTCCCGTCGCCCGTCGTGGCGACCGCGGGGGCCTGCGCGCGGTCCCCTCCCGTCGCCCGTCGAGGCGCTCTTGGGGGCCCGCGCGGCTCCCTTTCTCGTCGCCTATCGGGGCGCCCTGGGGGCCGCGCTCCTCTCCCCCCCCCCCCCCTCCCTCCTACCTTTCACCTGCAGCAGCCGTGAGTTCCGCGGTGGTGGGGGTGTGGGGTGGCGAGCATGGGGGTGTGAGGTGTGGGTGCTCCCCTTCTCTTTCCCCTCCTCCTTTTTCGTCTCCCACTGCTGCAGCTACTGCTGGGGGGGGTGGAGGTGTGGGAGCCGAGGGGAGTGGCCCTGGGGGGGTGACGTGGCAGTGGAGCTAGGGGTTCAGCAGGGGGTGTGTGATAGGGGCGTGGGGCAGTTGGCGGAGGTTGAGCGGAGGTCGCAGTCGTGTCGCCAGCAGCACTAGTAGTCTGGAGGCTACAATCTCCGGTAGTCGCCAGTCGCCTGTGGGTCAGTTGCTCCAGTCAAGAGGCTACAATCTCCGCGGAGCCAGTTACTCCAGTAGTCCGGGCCATTGCTTCGGTAGCCACTGAGCCAGCAGCTCCTGTGTGTCTACAGCTTCTGCTGTCGCCTTCCATCTCCTCTCCTCTCACAGTCCCTCCTCCTCCTCACATGCCCTCTGTGACTACCCCTAGCTTTACTTGGGCTTGTGAACTATTTTATGACTTCATGCTGTACTGATTATACCCCACTTTGCCTATGGGGGTGTGTCAGAATATGTTGTTTGTGTAGCCTGCAGTAGGGTACTCAATAGTGAGTACAGTCCCTTAGGGTTTGCTATTTGTATCCTGCTGCTTGCTAGTCAAATCATTCCATCCTCATTTCTGTTCGTGCACACAACTCTCGCTCGTACTTGGCGTCTCGTTCTAGTCTTCCTGTGGCCTAGGCTACTAAGCCTAGGCCCGACTACTTAGTATATTTGACGGTGGATCCTTCCGCGTTTTGGGGCTGGAAGCGCTGGTTCCGAGCGTTGTTCTTATGCCGAGTAACGTGGCTGCGCTTGTCTCGGCCTATTGCCAAGCCAGCAAGGGCGTGAGAGGGTTGCGAGCATTATCAGTCAACGTGGGAGGGTTGTGAGCATCATCGGTCATCGGCGCTCGCGAATGAAGAGCGCCCGCTGCACTTCCCGCACACGTGCGAATCCTTCCGCGTTTTGGGGCTAGAAGCGCACGTTCTAAGCGTTTTTCTTCACGTCGCTGCACTTGTCTGGGCCTATTGCCAAGCCTGCAAGGGCGTGGGAGGGTTGCCAGCATCATCGGTCATCAACGCTCGCTAATGAAGAGCGCCCGCTGCACTTGCTGCACATGTGCGGATCCTTTCGCGTTTTGGGGCTGGAAGCGCTCGTTCCGAGCGTTTTTCTTCCACCGGGTCACGTGGCTGCACTTTTCTGGGCCTATTGCCAAGCCAGTAAGGGCGTGGGAAGGTTGCGAGCATCATCAGTCATCGGCGCTCGCGAATGAAGGGCGCCCGTTGCACTTCCTACACATGTGCAGATCCTTAAGCGTTTTGGGGCTGGAAGCGCTCGTTCCGAGCGTTCTTCTTCCGTCGGGTCACGTAGCTGCGCTTGTCTGGGCCTATTGCCAAGCTGGCAAGGGCGTGGGAGCGTTGTGAGCATCATCGGTTATCGGCACTCGCGAATGCACAGCGCCCGCTGCACTTCCTGCACATGTGCGGATCCTTCCGCGTTTTGGGGCGGGAAGCGCTCGTTACGAGCGTTTTTCTTCCACCGGGTCATGTGGCTACACTTTCATTGGCCTATTGCAGAGCCAGCAAGGGTGTGGGAAGGTTGCGAGAATTATCGACCATCGGCGCTCGCGAATGAAGAGCGCCCGCAGCACTTCCTGCACATGTGCGGATCCTTTCAGGTTTTGGGGCTGGAAGTGCTCGTTCATAGCGTTTTTCTTCCGCCGGGTCAAGTGGCTGCATTTGTCTGGGCCTATTGTCAAGCCAGCAAAGGCGTGAGAGGGTTGCGAGCATCATCGGTCATCGGCGCTCGCGAATGAAGAGCGTCCGCTGCACTTCCTGCACATGTGCGGATCCATCTGCGTTTTGGGGCTAGAAGCGCTCATTCCGAGCGTTTTTCTTCAGCCGGGTCACGTGGCTGCCCTTGTCTAGGCCTATTTCCAAGCTAGCAAGGGCGTGGGAGGGTTGCGAGCATCATCGGTCATCGGCTCGCGAATGAAGAGCGCCCGCAGCACTTCTTGCACATGTGCGGATCCTTCCGCGTTTTGGGAATGGAAGTGCTCGTTCCGAGCATTTTTCTTCTGGCGGGTCACATGGCTGCGATTGTCTTGGCCTATTGCCAAGCCAGCAAGGGCGTGGGAGGGTTGCGAGCATCATCGGTCATCGGCGCTCGCGAATGAAGAGCGCCCGCTGCACTTCCTGCACATGTGTCGATCCTTCCGCGTTTTGGGGCTGGAAGCGCTCGTTCTGAGCGTTTTTCTTCAGCTGGATCACGTGGCTGCGCTTGTCTGGGCCTATTGCCAAGCCATCAAGGGCGTGGGAGGGTTGTAAACATCATCGATCATCGGCGCTCACGAATGAAGAGCGCCCGCTGCACTTCCTGCACATGTGCGGATCTGTCCACGTTTTGCTTCTGGAAGCATTTAATTTGACCCTTTTTCTTCCGCTGGGTCATGTGGCTGCGCTTCTCTGAGCTTGTTACCAAGCCAGCAAGGTCGTGGGAGGGTTGAAAGCATCATCGGCCATCAGCGCTTGCAAATGGAGAGCTCCCGCGGCACTTCCTGCACATGTGCGGATCCGTCCGCGTTTTGGGGTTGGAAGCGCTCGTTCCGGGCGTTATTCTTCTGCCGGGTCACGTGGCTGCGCTTGTCTGCGCCTATTACGAAGCCAGCAAGGGCGTGGGAGGGGTGCGAGCATCATCGGTCATCGGCGCTCGCGAATGAAGAGCGCCCGCTGCACTTCTTACACATGTGCAGATCCTTCCTTGTTTTGGGGTTGGAAGCGCTCGTTCCGAGCGTTTTTCTTCCGCCAGTCACGTGGCTGTGCTTGTCTGGGCCTAGTGCCAAGCAAGCAAGGGCGTGGGAGGGTTGCGAGCATCATCGGTCATCGGCGCTCGCGAATGAAGAGCGCCCGATGCACATCCTGCACATTTGCGGATCCATCCGCGTTTTTGGGCTGGAAACGCTCGTTCCGAGCATTGTTCTTCCGCCAGGTCACGTGGTTGCGCTTGTCTGGGCATATTACCAAGCCAGTAAGGGCGTGGGAGGGTTGCCAGCATCATCGGTCATTGGCGCTCACAAATGAAGAGCGCCCGCTGCACTTCCTGCACATGTGTGGATCCGTCCACGTTTTGGGGCTGGAAGCGCTCGTTCCGAGCGTTTTTCTTCGGCTGGGTCACGTGGCTGCGCTTGTCTGGGCCTATTACCAAGCCAGCAAGGGCGTGGGAGGGTTGCGAGCATCATCGGT